ACTCTTTCCTTCTCAGGTAGTAACAGTTCCATTAATACCACTGTGTAGTCTTAGATTTCCCAAATAAACTATTTTTTGAAGTCTCATAGAGAAGTATACATATGGATTTGGAAGAAAATAACACCAAACAAATCCATTTTATTCATTTATAGTATAGAGAAATTCTTAAAAATATGTGTTCTTATAATTCTTTTGTAAACATTTGAAATACTCAAGTCTTTTACGTGGCACCTGATATAACATCCATCATTTATTTATTAAATTTGATGTAAATCTTGACGTTAGTTGGTAGTGAATGCTACATGCGGGGCTGCTAAGACTTAGTAACATAAAAAAGCCCTTTTTGAATCTGATTAAAATACAGTTTCTAAAGCTTAACTGTATAAGCAGAAATAGTCATCAGCATGAAATTCTTTTATGCAATTTTGACCAGTAGCACAGAGAATCATGGAATGGTGATGATGGGAAGGAACCTCTGGAGGTCGTCGGTCCAACCACCCTGCTCAAGCAGGGCCATCTATAGCTGGTTCACCCAGAACCATGTCCAGATGGGTTTCGAATGTCTCCAGGAATGGAGACTCCACTACCTTCCTGGGCAACCAGTTCCAGTGCTCAGTCACTCTCACAGTAAAAAAGTGTTCCCTGATGTTCAGAGGGAACCTCCTGTGTTTCAGTTTGTGCCCATTGCCTCTTGTCCAGTCACTGGGCACCACTCAAAAGAACCTGGCTCTGTCTTCTTTGCACCCTCCCTTCAGGTATTTATAGACATTGATAAGATGCTCCCAAGCCTTCTCTTCACCAGGCTGAACAGCCCCAGCTCTCTCAGCCTCTCCTCAGAGGAGAGGTGCTTCAATCCCTTAATCATCTTTGTGGCCCTTCACTGGACTGTGTCCAGTAAAGCACCTGTCCTCATTGGCTCCTCTGTCACTCGGAAGAGGAAGTTGTCATCCATGGACTCCAGGAACCTCCTGGATTGCTTATGTCCTGCCCTATTGCCCCTCCAGCAGGTATTAGGGCGGTGGAAGTCACAGCAGGGCCTGTGAATGTGAGGCTGCTCCTGTCTGTCTGTAGAAGGCCTGATCCACTTGTTCTTCCTAGTCAGGTGGCCTGTAGCAGATACTCACTGTAACATCACCTTGACCTGTCCTCTCTTTAATCCTAACCCCTAAGCTCTCAGTTGGCTCCTCATCCATCTGCAGGCAGAGCTCCATGCACTCCAGCTGCTCTCTTACCTAAAGGGCAACTCCCCCACATCTATCCTGCCTGTCCTTCCTAAAGAGCCTGTATCCCTCCCTGGCAACACTCCAGTCATGGGAGCCATCCCACCACATCTCCATGATCCCAACAAGATCATAGACCTGCATCTACACACAGATCTCTAAATCATTCTGTTTATTCCCCATACTGCGTGCATTAGTGTACAGGGATTTTAGAGGTGCCCAGCAAGTTGAGTTTCTAGAGAGGGTTTGGGGGATTTCTCCATAATGGTGCCTTGTAGGTAGTTCCTTGCTGACATGCAAGTGCTGGAGGTGACCCCACTTAAGCCCCATTTTGTTGATTTTTGTGGTTCTTTCCTGTCACATCACCCATGCCCTTTGCTGAGTGATCCTGCCTGTTGCTCCCTCACAGATCTGCTGGTTACTCTCTCCCTCCCCCAGAATGCAGTTACTGTTACAAGTCTTCAGATTGGCACAATTGGTGGAATTTTTTGTTACAGATCGTCCTGTTCCAAGTTTGGCTGAACCTTCATAGCTCAGACAGAGCTTTTCCAGTGAACATAAAGTAATTAGGACATAAAATGGAGTGTTGGAAACCAGAATGCAAAATACTGTATTAGCGAATCAGTGACACAGCAAGTCAGAGGTGCTCTTGAGCTTGTTGAATATGGGCTTAATGTGCCTACAATATGGTAGTTTTCATCTGCTGTATCATTTAATGGGAAAAGATGCTTAAAAAATTTTGTTACCACATGCTGTGGAAAAATGAAGGGACTTGCTGTATTAGATTACATTGCAAGTTTTCGCTAAATTTTGTCAGCTTTTAAGATGGCTAAATTTGTTCTTAAGAGTGAATGTGTGGCTTTGTTTAAAAATGATACAGTAAAATACTTTAAATATCAGACATAATGAGCAATTACAAATGAACTGAAAACGTTTTTTTCTTTATGTCTTCTGTGTTTATAAAATGTAATTTGTACTTTCTTGTCCAAAGATTCTTTCCTTGGCAGAACAAATTCAGTTTACTGAAGATGTTGAAAGTGCTATCAAAGACCATCACCTGCAGCAATTAGAATTAGAACTCATGGCTAAACTGGAACATTATACTAGCATTGATACTAGTATAGAAGATACTAGGAGTACAGGTATAAAAATGATAAATAATATATAATTCTTTATAATGACTGTGTAGTTGTATAGTATGTAACGTTCTGTTTATTTAAACAGGAAATTATATAAATCTGTCTTGATTTGAGCTCATAAAATTGTTACATAAAGTTACGCACCTATTACTGCTGAGATTAGTTTATTTAATATTTCAGAGAGAACAATGGATTGTAATTTAGATTAAAAATATCTTGGAGCATTTATATATTTGCAAACATCTTTAATTATTTTTTAATAACTTTCTATATATTTTGGTTTATATATTTAATGATAATTTGTTCTCACCTACTGAGCTGTACTATAGTGTTATGTTTCATGGGAACTGGCCAAACAGCAGTTGAACTACATTATGTCATGCCAATATATTCTGTACAACTGTGTAGATGATTCTCTTTTTCTATCTTAGATGTATCCATCGGCATCTGAACTAATAATTCTTGAGTACCTCTGTAGCAAACCCAATAAACTAGTTATTCTTAAGACATGATTGTTCTGAATCTTATATAGTCCAAATGGGTTAGAATAATTATACCTTTGAGTGCTTATTCCTCTCTTTTGACCAGAAGGGGGGCTTTGAATGACTACCTCAGATGTAAAATTCTATAGTGTAGGTTAGGTGAGATGGCTCTTACCCTATATGTATAAAAAGACTCAATTTGATATGTAATTGACAGTATTCCACCACATTTGTATAGCTGCTTACTGTATTAAATTCTAATTTAGAATTTATAAACTGTTAACATTTGATATATTAATTAAGAATAGGATTCATATCACCTAACTTCAGCAGTCTGTGATTCTTTATCTAAGCTCTTTTCCTGTGCTGTTTCTATATCCATTGGAAAAATGTCATCGGTTATAGAAGAGTGTTCATTCCATCTGTTGTATAATAGATTTACTGTAACTTTTTAGTTTGGATAATAGGTGTGATTTTTGAAGTGAGTTGCCTGATTATCCCCACTTACTTTGGTTTAATTCCTGTCATGGAATGGTATAGGAGCACACAAACTGGATTTCTCTCAAATGAGACTAAATAAAACAGTATGTTCTCGGAGTACACTTAATGCACCCCATTTGCTAATGAACATTCATTCCACATCACCCTAATTACTTTGAGTATATCTCCAGAGTGCGTGTAGTATGATTTTCAGATCCTCAGCATATCAGTTAACAGATTGTGCCACACTGATTGCTGAAGTGAACATAGTTGTAAACACTACTGGAATAAGTTGCTTTCTAGAGAAGCCTCTCTCTCTCTCTCTTGAGTGTAAAGGCAGACAAATTCACTTCTAAATGACTGAAGTTACATGGTGATTCATATTCTCTGTCAGGATCTCATTTTATGCTGCTTGCTTTAGATAATAAGTATTTCTATATATAATTGAAACGAGATCGGAATAAGATCTGTTGATAATAGAAAGCAGCACAATGAACTTGAGGGTGGGTAACATGTATCTATCTTACTACATTGTTGTGATTTTATTTTTTTTTTTTTTTTGGTACGGTTATTTGCAGAATCAGGAATCCTTGAGCTTAAGCTTAAAGCTCTGATTCTTGATATCATTCATAACATTGATGTGGTGAAGCAGCTGAATCAAGCTCAAGTTCACAATGTTGAAGACTGGGCTTGGAAGAAGCAGCTGAGATTTTATATGAAGGACCAAAAATGTTACGTTCAGATGGTAGATGCTGAACTCCAATATACTTATGAATATCAGGTATGATATTTTTAATTTTTACCTGGTGGCTTTTATATATGTCGAACATTTTCTCATTTCACATATGCTGCTGGTTGCCTCCCAACTGTTGCCATTTTTTTCAACTTTGTTGTGTCCTTAGCGTGCTGTTTCATAGAAAATGCTAAAAGATAGGGTAATCATTTCATTCTTGATAGGGTAAATGTAAGTTGTATGGAAAGCAGCTACATTATTATATAAATATTTTCTAATATGCTTGCTACTTTTATATATCAGACTGCAGTTTCATCTGTGTTGACCCTTTTTCTGTAATTCTAAAAAAAATTTGCATCATACTTGGACATTTGGTATGAAATCAGGAAAATGTCATAACTGTAAACAAATTCATATACTTAATGAGACAGTAATCTTGACCACTGTGTTGTTTTTTCAAATTAATGACTTATGAATGAAATTAATGAAATTACATCGTCAATAATTTCTGTCTACAAATCAACATAATTTGTTTTGTTTCTACAGGGTAATTCCCCTAAACTTGTTTATACGCCATTGACAGATAAGTGTTACCTAACTCTTACTCAGGCTATGAAGATGGGCCTTGGGGGAAATCCCTATGGTCCAGCCGGAACTGGAAAGACAGAATCAGTAAAGGCCTTGGGTGGACTTCTTGGAAGACAAGTGTTAGTCTTTAATTGTGATGAGGTGAATATGGTTCTGTATAATTTAGGAAATGGATATCTATGCCCATACTTCATAAAGCAATATTATATTCTAGAAATACGTTTGATAATTTGTTGGTTTCCGTTAGAAATTTGTGGCTATTTCCAATGACATTTTTTTTAGTAGATGGGAAGATGGTCTTTCATTATTTTCTTGTTATTTGAATTTTGATAGTATTCTCTTTTAATTTTAAGGGCATTGATGTGAAGTCGATGGGGCGCATATTTGTGGGCTTAGTGAAGTGTGGTGCATGGGGCTGTTTTGATGAATTCAATAGACTTGAGGAAGCTGTATTGTCTGCAGTATCCATGCAGATTCAGACAATTCAACATGCATTGAAGAAACATAGTCCTATGTGTGAGATGCTTGGCAAAAAGGTACAGCAAAACTTACATATTTTTGTAGAAATAGTCTATAAACAAATAGGTCAAACTTAAAAACTGACTACTGTAACTAAACATAGTCCACCCAACATTTCTCAATACCTGTTTCATATGACAATATACTATTACAATGCACTTCTAATGCTAGGTTGAAATGGATCATAATTCTGGAATTTTTATCACTCTGAATCCTGCTGGAAAAGGTTATGGAGGAAGACAAAAACTGCCTGATAATCTCAAACAACTTTTCAGGCCGGTTGCTATGACTCATCCAGACAATGAACTCATTGCAGAAGTGATTTTGTATTCAGAAGGCTTTAAGGATGCCAAAATACTCGGTAGAAAATTAGTGGCTATTTTTAATCTAGCAAGGTAAGCACTCCCCCCCCCGCCCCGTCATGTTACCTTTCAATTCTCTTCCCTCCTCCTTTTATTTTAGCATTGATCTTTGTGGTTATCTCACTGCCATCTTGTTTCGTCTCCATCTAGTCTATGCCAAAGCATGACTGTAGGGATACAATCTACACGTACTTTCTGTTAATTTTCTGTAATATTTAATTAATTGGATATTGCAGAAAGCTATGTGTCAGAAGCAAAACTAGACATAAAACTGCAGGTTTGGAATCATCTAAAGCTTTACATTCAGTACAGCTCTTAAATCTGAATGGTATACCGTGCAAATCTCTGTAGATACTAATTTAACTTAAAAATATTGCAATGTATTGGGAGGTTCAGGTGTGAAAATGCAGTTATAATCTCAAGGTGGCAAAGTACTGCTCCCCTGTTAGGCTCACTAAATATGAATGTAAGCATATGAATGCTCACAAGATTGTGTTGATTTTAGACTCTTGAAGTTGTTGAAATGCAAGTGACTATTTGATTATAAGTATGCATATTAGAGAGAACAAAGTTCAGAGGTTGTAATTAATGCCCTTAGGGACAATAATAAATGCATTAGCTGTTGAATATACTCCCTCTGTCATTGCTTATATCTCTGAAATACATTTCAGATGGCACTACAAATTCTTTTTTGCCCAGAACCATATTATGAACATATTCATTTGCCACACAAAAATTTCAGGCACTGTCACCTAAAGCTTGTTACAATAATTCTGTTTTTAAATTTAGGGAGCTTCTGACACCACAGCAGCACTATGATTGGGGTTTACGAGCATTGAAGACTGTTTTGAGAGGCTGTGGCAGTCTTCTCCATCAGATGAAGAAAAGTGAAGCAAAGCAAGAAAGTAAGGTTGACCATGCCAAACTTTTGGTTGTTTACGACATTGTACAGATATCATTCAGTATGGTTTTCTTGTTCACTGGAGTTTTGAGAAGCCATGGCCTGGATCTTGGGGCAATTTAGAAAAGAAGAACATACCTGTGAAAGTCCTCCTTCATTAGGAGATCACAAAAGACTGTTGTCATATTCTAGACTGAGTTTTTATATGATAAGAACATAGATACAGGACTTTATTCTGGGATGATTTTGAGTCATTCTCAAAGACTCTTGTTTTCACTTGGCTTGGGGCAGGAAAGTTCATCTTCGGATGCTGTCATTATTCATCAGTCATCAGACCATTTTGATTCCATTTGAGGTTTGCTAAAACTGTCACATGGCATTAGATTCAGATTGGTAGACAGAGACAAATATGAGGACAGGTAGAAATTACAGAAATGTATTGAACTAGACTGGGACACTTTTTTTTTTTAAAGATTGTTTAGATAATCGTTTTTTACTGTTTACATGTTAAACGAGTAGGAGTTAAGAGTGTGGGATGGATGGGCATTGCACATCTTTAGGACACAACTACTGCTTCCTGTTCACTTAAGCAGCATATATCTGCAAATTTTTAGAGACAGCATTGGTTTACAAATCTCGGCATAATAAATGGTCTGACGACTTTAAAGAATTTGTAATTTAGTTCAGATCTGCCAAAGAAGGATTACCAGCATTGTGTTTTAAGGCACATTCCTATCACTGTTCCTTGCTATGACATTTTAGCTTCGTGTTTAGATATGTGAAATTTGCTGAAATTTGTTTGGTCTGGTTTCAAAGGTTGGACTCAATGATCCCAGAGGTCTCTTCCAATCAAATCGATTTTGTGTCATTCTGTGTGAAAATATAATTTTCAGTAACACTGTGAAAGGCAAGATGGATGGATTTAGCTTATGATTTAAACCCAGAATTTTTTCTTTGGGTTCTTTTTTTTTGTTTGGTTTTTATCTCTTGGCTTGAAAAGCTTAAGATATTCCCAACAAATGCAGTTTCCTGTTTCTTTGTTTGCTTGTTGAGTCAAAATCCTTTGGCATGTCAAAGTGTTGTCCATATTTCTTAAATGTTGCTCAGATTTTGTATTACTTCGTTTAGTAAAGCAGTTCAACTTTTATAAATCAAGTTCCTTAATGTCAACGTTTTTCCTCTTAACTGTTTATCATGCTATTTAGAAAATTTGCCTGTAGAAGCATTTGCATTTAAGGCATTGTTCAGGATGAAAAACCCTAAACTTTTTCCAAATTCTAGAAGAGTATACTAATCCTTAACCTCTGGAACGTTTGGGAAAAAGCTGCAGGAAAAAAGGAAGTTAGGGAATGGACACTTTCTGTCCCTTATGTTGAATTTAAGCTATATTGCATTCTGGTTTGGAGCAATTGTGCATTCAGAAGGAAGGCAGAAACACAGGATAATTTTCACCTGTGGTTCCTAGTCCTGCTCTCTGAAAATGTATGTGTTTCACATGAGAAAGTAATTTGATTTAAAAAGCAAGATCAGAACCCCGTGCCTTTCCCATCATGAGTGTATTTATTTTTGTGGCACAGTAAAGCTTGCTCGTGGTTGTTTTTGTTCTGGTCACCAAACACACATTTCCATGGTACTTCAGCTTTCAGAGGAGTTGTGGAGAGTGTTTACTTCTGCAGTATTCATAATTAATTAGGATGTACATGAGAGATGTGACTTCAAACTGCCTCTGGCAGAGTAAGGTCTAGAATCCGGATCCTTAGTTTCTTTCATGAGTGCTTTAACAAGTAAGCTATTGTGCACTGCTACTTTTCATCCCACTTTAATCATTAGGCTGTTGTGTACTATCTGGCCAGCATCATAACCATCTCATATCTGTATAGAATGCATTTGTGAGCATATGTGGTACTTACAGTAAGGCACTCATCTAACTTCCCAGTGGATTGATACATAAACTGGAATGTAGTCTGTGCTGTGATTCCACCTTCAGCATCTTAGCAGTATGGGCTCAAGGAAAAAACACCCAACAAACAGCTTAAACTGATCTAATTTGTTTGCTTTTATTTCCAGTTAATGAAAGTCACATGGTGGTTCAAGCTCTGCGGCTTAATACCATGTCAAAGCTTACATTTGCAGACTGCGCACGTTTTGATGCACTGGTTAAAGATGTGTTTCCTGGCATTGACTTTAAAGATGTGGAGTATACTGAGTTAACTACAGCTTTACAACAAGTCTTTGAAGAAGCAAACTTGGAAATTATAAGCACCCAGGTAAACATCAACTGCAGCAACAAAACAATATGTTCGACTCATTTCTATTTACTTTTGAAAGAAACCTTTTATAAAAAAGTGAGAATAACTGATTCTAATTTTAATTACATATATATAAAAAAATAGATGTGTGTGTTTGAAGCATGGTAGATCAGTTGTGTAATTGAAAGAAAAGTAGTGAAAGGAAAATTAAGATGTGAACATGTGACATACAGTTTTGTTCAAGCCAGGTACAAATGCCAATGACTGTTTTGGACAGTGAAAGAATTAAATATGTGAATGTGTGGTTTTATTAAGCAGTTCTGTGTCTCCTTTATATTTATTTGTTGTAGGGCTGCATGAAGTTTTGTGACTAAACATTCATTTATTTCTCAGTAAAAATATGCCTAAAGAGGGCTGATATTTTTACATTAGTAATTTAGTAAACTGCTTCTAACATGCAAAATAAGTTTCTTGATATTCTTTAGTATCATAATTTTAATTATTTCTGCAAATATCTATTGTTTCAAAAAATAGAATTATAGAAACAAAGTGACTGCATGCAAAGTAGATTGAAAAAACATTAAAAAAAGAACATGATTGATTTAGCTTTACAACTTCACATAGCCATTATCTCTTTTATTATCTAGATCAAGAAGGCTTTGGAATTATATGAACAACTACGTCAAAGAATGGGTGTAGTTATTGTAGGTCCAAGTGGTGGAGGTAAATCAACACTTTGGCGAATGTTAAAGACAGCACTTGGTAAAATTGGCAAAGTAGTGAAACAGTACACTATGAATCCCAAAGCTATGCCTCGCCATCAGTTGCTAGGCCATATTGACATGGATACCAGAGAATGGTCTGATGGCGTGCTTACAAATAGTGCTCGACAAGTGGTACGAGAACCCCAAGGTATGTTTGTGAAGTAGTTATACATCATTATGCTTAAATTACTGAAATTGTTTATTTTCAGTTACATTTTTATATTAAGTTATTTGTGGATAGCCTAAGGTAAGAAAAACTTTTGATGACAGTCATAGTCAAGAACACTAATATATACTTTCCAAATTTTTTGATAAGAAAGCAAAAATAGACAGCAGAAGGTAAAGTATGTGAGGAGTATCTTCATAGAGCTTATATTTAAGTTATAATGAAGGAACAGTATTAAATAATGTTAAAGTAGCAAGAGGAGACATTCTTTAAGTGTTTTTCTTGGGTTTGATATTTTATTTTTGTGTCTGGAAATAGATACTACTTCATGGATAATTTGTGATGGTGATATTGATCCTGAATGGATTGAATCTTTGAATTCCGTTTTGGATGACAACAGATTGTTGACTATGCCCAGTGGAGAAAGAATTCAATTTGGCTCAAATGTCAATTTCATATTTGAAACTCATGACCTTAGCTGTGCCTCTCCTGCTACAATATCTCGAATGGGAATGATCTTTCTGAGGTAAGTCACAGGAGAGTTAGATACTTTTAAAGTAAGTAAATTTACTTCTGTTTCTTGAAAGATAGTCTGAAGTGAATGGAGCAATTTAATTACTTGGTTACACTTATGAAGCAAGTCACTGGGGAAGTTTGCTTTAAGTTACATGTCCCTTCTGCACTCTCATGTTATAATCTTTTGGCTAATATATCTCAAACTTTTTGAAAGAGACACGATGGATTCTTTGTTTGTGTGTGACCCTTAGAGAGCCCAAATATTGGTTAGAAATTCTTGTTAATGTATTTCCCTGAACTTTTCCTGGAATTTTGTTGTTCCTTTGAACCTGTCTATGTGAAGATGTAGATGTCTTGTATTTGTCTGAAGCTTGTTTTGGTTTGGTTTGACTTAGTGATGAAGATACAGATCTTAATTCTCTGATAAAGTCTTGGCTAAGAAGTCAACCTGAAGAATGCAGATACAACCTTGAAAACTGGATTGGGGACTATTTTGAAAAGGCTTTAAACTGGGTTGTGAAGAAGGTTAGTAACTGAATACTTAATCAAATTTCAGCTTCTGTTAAGGATGGTCCATTTTTCTGGTTTAACACTGAAGAGATCATAATAATTTTTAAATTTTAAGTAAAAAAAAAACCTTGGTGCTTTTTTGATAGCTGTTTTCCAAAAACTGATTGCGGTACTTAAAATTTTGAAACATTTAATACAATTTCAACCAATGAAATGCATGTATTTCTATGAAACTTAGTATCTGTCTAATGTTCTGTACTGGTCATTTTTCTATATGTTTTCAAAGATCTGAATGTCTAAACTGAAAAATGGAAAAGTGAAGAAATTGTTTTTCTAGATTGAAGTTATTGTCTTTAACAAAAAATAGCTAAAATTTGAAAAATTGCACGGTGTAGACTGAAGCTTATCATAGTTTGGGGAGAAGTATAATGATACCTAAAAAGATTGATAGAGGCATATCTAAAAAAGTAGTCTGATTGTTCACAGTGCTGAATTTTAACAGCTCCCACTACTCCGTCCTGGATTTAAGTATATAACTTTTGCTTTTTAGGATTCTACTCAAAACCTTAACTGAAAGATGTTTTAATAGGTGAAAGGTAATACGTAGTTACAATATTAAAAAAGGATAGTCCAAAACCTTGTACATTATCTGAATTCTGTGATTCTGGCACGTACATCAAGATAACTGTTCTGCATATGCTAGATTTTCTTAAGGATTCTAGGTACTTCCCTCACTGTCCTTCTTCTGAAGGAGTTGCATTTGTATTGAACCAATGGCTTATGTTGCACAAAACATTGTTTAAGATGCATCCCCACTGTTGTGGCCAGTAAGCTAGTGTTTGGGAGACATGGATTACCTGCCCTTGGGGAACATACATGATCCTATTGTGCTTTTAATATTATTTCCTCTCTTGGTTCTTTCATCCATGGAGATTTTTAAAGTCTCTTCAGGTGGATACAGAGGAAAAACCATGACATTGATCCTGAGCCTGCAAATCCCCTTTGGTACTAAAGAGCGAAATCTCTAAAGAATCCATTCACAAGAGAGATTTGCAGTATACAATTATGTTGATTTCTTATAAATTCTCAAAATCCGTAAGGAAAGTTCTGATTGCTTATCCTAAATTATATCAATATGTAGTCTGGAATTAAAACTTCCAAATCAATGCTTAAAAATAATTTAATATGAAGTGAATTTTCTAGAACAACAACAGTGTTGAGATCTTTCATCATTTGTGAAAGTGTCAAAGAGCAATGGGTAATAGTCTGTTAGCAATACATCGCATTTATTTTTAGGATTATATTTAAATCTACTACAACTTGTAATTTACAGAATGACTCTGTGGTAGAAACAAGTTTAGTTGGAACTGTGATGAATGGACTGTCTCATCTTCATGGGTGTACTGATCGTGGACAGTTTGTTGTTAACTTGTTACGTGGTCTTGGTGGCAATCTCAACATGAAATCACGAAAAGAATTTGCAAAAGAGGTAATAATCTCTTTCGGCAAGTTTATTAAAAATTTCTCAGTATATGTAGTAGGAATTGTGATTTTTCTGTCTTCTAACAATGCAAATTTAGAATAATAGAATGTCTGTGCTCTAATTTGTTTGCAATCTGTGTTGTCTATAGGGGAATAGCTGAGAAGTAAAGAAATGTTTCATATGTCACTGATATGCTACGAAGTGCATCGAGCCCAGATAGCAATCCTTTGGTGCTGAACCAAGAGATACAGAATGGCCTCTGTCCATACTGTTTTATGCAAGGACCCATTATAGCAGATTCTGTGTGTGTGTGTATGTGTTGTGTATATGTAATATATATTTGTTTTGTTTTTTTCTCTTCAGAATGCTTGAAATAATAATGTGAGGGCTTTGTTGCACCTCATGAGGGAGGTGTTCTTACAGCATTATTTTGAGGTTATGTATTGTATGTGCTGGGGTTTGGTTCTGTCTTTGTGTAGATACTTGAGGGCACAAGGACTAGGGAATAGTGTTGGAAAACTATGTGAGTATACCGGACCATAGTGTCTACAAAAGGCTGTCCGTGGGGGTAGTTATCTCCATAATCACACTTGGTTTTTATGTTGGAGAGAATGAAGTAGTTCCTTCCAAAAGACAGCCTGGAACTATAACATAAGTACAGGGCAGATGGTGAAGGTTTTGACTGAGCTTCTGGAATTAGCTATTGATGCATGCAAGGGACTTACTTCATTCTTATGATTGAGTATCTTGCCTAATATCAAAAAAAAGTTTATATAAAACTTTGCTAAATACAGTTTATTTTATCTTCTTTATATTATGAAAAAGTAATTTGTGGAAGAGTACTATGTTGCTCTTTAGTTAAGGACTTAATCAAAAAGCGTATGCATAACAGGATTGTATTTTCAAAGGCAGCTTTAAAACTATCAAATTGAAGCATTAAGTGTTTGATTTTGCAGAAGTATTCTTTGAACATTCTTCAGATTAACTTGAAATTGTAGATCTTGTCAATAAGAGTATGGGTTTAACAGAAGCTTTATTTTTATTTTTTTTCAAAGATCTTCAGATGGGCACAAGAATCTCCACCAGATCCAAGGAAGCCGCTGGACACATATTATGATACTGACACTGGACAGCTAATGCTGTATCAGCTGAAAAAACCTGAAAATCTAACAACTGATGACTTCAGTAATCTCCAAACACTTCCCATCATCCAAACCCCTGACATGCAGAGAGGTTTAGATTACTTTAGACCTTGGCTAGACTTTAACAATAAGCAGCCATTTCTTCTTGTTGGTCCTGAGGGATGTGGAAAGGGGTAAAAAATATTTCCTATTTTAAGCAAAATATACTTCTAGCTATTTGACAAAGTTTGTAATGTTTTGTTATAATGGTTTTATCAGATGACTTTCTGCTGGAATATCACTTGTTTAGGTTACTAATGAAACAAACCTTCTGTAATGCCAAAGAAGATCTACAGGGAAAGTTCAGGCTGCCACTATGCATCGAAGACATCTGAATGAGGCTTTTAGATATGAAACAAGACCTTTGGAAAACCAGTGCTTTCATGGAGCAACAGCTGAAAGGCACATGAGCTAGTAGTCTCATCTCAAGAGGCACTAGATGCCTATGTGCACGCAACTGAATTTAGCTCATCCTGTTGCCTATCTTATATTACTTATTTAGATGGGTTGGATCACTATATACAAGCTATTTAGGCTAGGCATTTGTTTTGTGTAGCTGTATACTACTCTTTTATTGAATTTCTTGAATGGAAAATATTACCATTTTAAAGGCAAGAATATTTAATTCAGCAAACCAAATGCATCACCTATTGCATTAATACAGTATGTAGTATGTGCATTTTAATTCAAAAACTATATGATATCTTTGGATACACAGTATTTTAATGCATTTGTGTATTACTTATGCTTATATGTATGTACACATTTGCTTTTTTAGGATGCTGCTTCATTATGCATTTTCTCAACTTCGATCCACGCAGATTGCTACCATTCACTGCAGTGCACAAACTACTTCTCAACATCTTCTACAAAAATTAAGTCAAACTTGCATTGTAATCAGTACAAACACTGGGCGAGTATACAGACCAAAGGACTGTGAAAGGCTTGTTTTGTACTTAAAGGATATCAATCTACCCAAACCTGATAAATGGGGAACAAGCACTCTCGTGGCTTTTCTACAGCAGGTGAAAACTTTTATCTGTTATCTGTAAAGAGACTTAAGTATACTGGAAATAGTTTAGTGTATGTAGTAGATACCTACCTTGATTATTTTCAGAGTTAACATCCTGCATCTGTATTGACATTAGTTTTGTTTGTACTTTGATAGAATATGTAGGTGTCAGCCAGAAATAAGATACCATTTTTATTTGGCTTATATGCATAAGTAAATACAGCACTTGCCTCAGTAAGTTACAATGCGGTAGGCGTATGAATGACAAGAAAATCATCAGGAGTAGTCAGCGTGGATTCACCAAGGGCAAGTCATGCTTGACCGACTTGATGAACTTCTGTGATGAAATGACAGACGTGATAGACAAGGGAAGAGTAGTGGTTGTAGTCTACCTGGACTTCACTAAGGTCATCGATGCTGTCTTCCGAAAGTTCCTTACAGAAATGCTGTTGATGTATGGGCTGGATAAGGAGGTAGTGGGGTGGGTTGAAAACTGGCTAAAAAGCCAGGCCCAGAGGCTGGTGATCAGTGGCACAAAGTCTAGTTGGAAGACAGTACCTGTTTAACATCTTCATTAATGATCTGGACAATGGAGCAGAGTGTACCCTCAGCAAATTTGCAGCTGACACCAAGCTAGGAGGAGTAGTATACCTCTGGCAGTTAAGAAAACAGTAATAAATGTATACTTCTCACTATTTTTTTTTTTTATATGATACTCTATTGGCTTTCTTTTAATGAAATATTTGTTTAATTTTAAAGGTTCTTACATATCAAGGATTTTATGATGAAAATCTGGAATGGGTTGGTTTAGAAAACATCCAAATTGTGGCTTCCATGTCTGCTGGAGGAACATTAGGAAGACATAAACTCACCTCCAGATTTACTTCTATTGTTCGTCTCTGTGCCATTGAGTAAGTATATGGAAATTAGTTTGACTCTCAGAACTCAGATTCAGCCTCTGTTGATAGAGCCCTTGCTCAATTTAGTCTTTATGAAGATGTGGCTGTTCGAGTCTTTCATCTTTTCTGACAGTTTGCAGTCTTCAGATTTGGTGCTCTTTGGTGCCTCTTGGCACTAGAAACCAACTAAGGAGCAATCTGTTGCTACCTGTTGGTAGTGAAGTGTTTGAAATATGATTCCTGTTGGATAATTTTGCTTTCAGTAAACTGCTTTCTGCAGCTTTATATTAAGGTGCTGCTTGGTTACAAAATTAGAGAAATTGAAAAGAAGTAAGTTTGGTTTTAAGTTTGACCACATTTACTGGTGTATTTAGAAAATTTCTGAGGGTGGCCCATTGCAATAAAACGATAATTTTACTTAGCTGCTAGACAGAGATGCTATTAATTGAAATTTCTCAGTAAGTCTGTATATAACTTTGAATCTTTTTAATAAAAAAATTAACAATGATAGTCCATAATGATTACTTTTTTTTTTCCCCTTGCTTTGTAGCTATCCAGAAAGAGACCAGCTGCTAACTATTTATAGTGCCTACTTGGAACCTGTACTACAGAAAAACCTAAAGAATCACCCTGTTTGGGGTTCTTTACCAAAAATACATCAACTAGCAGGATCTATGGTTCAAGTATATGAACAGGTAATGCAAATTTAGTTTCTTTTTTCAAGTAGATGGAGAATTTAGATTTTTTTAAAAAAAAAATAATTAGCTTTTGATATTAACGAGAATAAAAAGATTTATTAGTATTGAAATCCAAGTTTATATCTCTTTCATAATGTTGATATGAATTTTAGAGCTACTTATTTGAAGAGAATCCCAGGTATTAAAGGCAAACTGAGTAAGTGGTAAATGTTCTTGCATTCCCACATGTTTATTGTATGATTCTGGCAAGCATCTTAACGCATCTATGCTTTCAGTTTGTGATTTATAAAATGTGGATAGTAGTGTTTCCTACTTAATGGATGAGAACATTGTTATGTGCTCAGATGTAATGGATGCTCTTATGAATAGACAAGAGAGAGATGAGGGTGTATCCTTTACACACATCAGGGACTACCTATTAAAATTTTACACTGTTAAAAATAGGTCCTTAGACACACAAGTTCGTTTTATCCTTCCACTTAAAAGTTTATGGGCATCTATCTAGCAAAACACTGAACTACTTGCTTTTCTTAATCATGTACATAGTCTTACTGGGGTAGGTACTGTGGGGATGTAAATGCTTACTGTATGTTCCGAGAATGTCTGCCTGTCCCCATCTAGACAGAACCATGATATAAAACTGATCTTTATGACTGGAATGTGGGTATAGTCACTGACTAGCATGCACCGGTTAGCAGGAGTTTCATATGATATTATCAATGTATTCTAAGAAATCTAAGTTTAAATCTCATCACACTAGGACCAAATAACTGATGAAGGCAGTTATTCTTTGAATTGAAGATATTGTTGTAAATTCAAATATCCTCTCTGAGGCAAGAGTTAGTATTTCTGTAACAATTCTTCTGTAGTGACTAAATGTTACTGATTTAGGTAGATTTTTATTTGGTATTGCTTTAAAAAAGATCGTGTCTTTTGTCTACTAGCACTGCACTAGCACTCCTAGGTGACATGTGAAGTTGTTTTCGTCAAAAAGGGTACAGAAAAAATGTTCTAATTATGAGAAAATATTTTGTGGTCAGAGAACAAGATTTAAACAATTAATCTCTCCACTTCTCAAAAAAACTAAAGAATGCATTAATAAAATACCTAGATATATAGACTAAATAGAAAACTAACCTATCTGGTATTTTAGGGAAAAAAATAAAGCTACATTTCCAAGTGCTTTGCATTTTAAAACATCACTTTTTCCCCCACCCCTTAACTTCCATTTTTAGGTACGAGCAAAATTCACAGTTGATGATCACGGTCATTACCTTTTTACACCATGTATTCTTACTCAGTGGGTTCTTGGTTTATTCAGATATGATTTAGCAGGTGGTAAGTCACTTATTTGTTTTTTATTGATAAAGCAGTTGTAAAATGACCTAAATTACTATTCATGTCAGCCTAACTGTTGACTCCACATGCAACTCGTTGACCCATGGTGCTCTTTCTAAACTGTGAACTGTCTGTGTCTCAGCAGAGGGAAAAAATGCCTAACAGTTCATTCCATAACATATAGTAAACAAGTTTAAAAAGCTCCAATGATGTTTTAAAATATGTGGGGGAACTATTTGAAGGGAAGTTAGTAGGTGGGGACTGCATTCTCTACTATGGGAACTTGAAGTGTACCTCCTACTCCCCACCATTTTTGTTCTGTTTTTTTGGTAGGATTTTGGGTTGGGGGTTTTTTGAGCATATGTCTTGACTTTTGGATTCCCAGAGACTTGCCTCTCATGCTTGTCTTTTTATACCTGGTTGTATAAACCCGGTGAGGTGGCTGTGGAACTACAACTGATACACGTCATCTATGACCTACTTAACAAAAGAAGAATGTAACCACCCTTAAACATAGAAAACATTTAGAAAACTATCTCATTTGTGTGTTTACAAATATCTATGTAAGAGCATAATTATTCTCACAGTTTGGGAATGTTTGATAATTACAGTCTAGTCTGAAAGTTCTTTTTTCCTTAACTTTAGAAATGGTGAAATTTGTAAAGGTATTCAATTTTATGTGCTTTTCCAAATAGAAAGCATAGACTTCTTTCTAATCTTGTTTTTGTCTGTGAAATTGCTGTTATTACTAGATCATTAGGAATTACTCTTTATTATATTTTAGCTCTTACATTAATTAAAGTGTTACATAGAGAGCTGATTAAAGGATATCAAAGTGATAAGAATGTTGTGCTGGCTTTCCATTTGTTTTCTGGGTTCATCAGATGGTATAAATATAGTTTGAATGAGATCAGAAAAACTACACTGACAATGAATGGGTAATCTCAGCGCATTTAAGGACTCCGTTGTTGTATCTGAACAACATGACATATGCATATGCTTTTTCAGTGATGAACAATATGGCATGTCATTTACTCTTATCTACTTCGTTCTTACTCATATCATACTTCCTTCTTGCTTTTGTGAAGAATATTGAAGCTTTGTATTCTCTGGCAGCATTTTATAATACAGACTGTTTTGGGTATTTATTGTTATTTTAGTATTTGTTATCAGTCTTCCTCTTCCCCTTTAAAATGGTCTCCTGGATTTTCTTGTTTTCATTGCCTAGAATTTTGTCTTTTGATTTTTACTGTGTGTGCAACACCTTGTTCATTTTCATTAGAATGCTGACACTAAACTGGAGAAGTTGTTTTAATAGAAAATGTTTTGGTTTATATTTGTTTTATATATCCATGAAGATATTATTAAAAATAGTTTACTTTTTCTCTTATTTCTTCCTTACTGATGCTCTCCTGCTAGTACGTAATTTCACTTACTCATTTTCAATCTCATATTTTGAAATGGAAAATTTGAGAAATGTGAAATTTATTATAAATATATACAATAAAATCTGTCCTTAAATTTTGTAGGATCATCGATACAAACTGCAGACTATGTACTGGAAATTGTTGCTTATGAAGCACGTCGTTTGTTCCGTGACAAAATTGTTGGCATGAAAGAACTTCATGTATTTGATAATGTTTTGATGAAAGTGTTTCAAGGTGATTGGGGCTCAGATGTTCTGGACAATATGGCAGGTAAACCATTTGAGGCATACTACACAAACTTGAAATATTTGTTTAGGATCTGCCTAATCAAATCAGTCTGATCAGGTCAGATAGCACATGGGCTGAGCATCTAAACTTTCGAATGTTTCCTTCTATTTTAACAGATATTTTCTATGTAACTTGGGGAGCTTGTCAAGAGGCATTCATCACACCAGGACAGGCACTGCCACCACATGGGAGGCCACTTGGCAGACTAAACTCAACAGACCTGAAAGAAGTTATTCAAAAAGTGAGACAAGATTAAAGAATATACACAGCAAGGATTCACAGCAATTATTCTAGACCTTTTTTTTCCCAGGAAGTAACATGCGAGTAGCAGGTTTAGAGTGGCATCTGCTGCTTGTTTGAGGAATCATCTTTTTGCATTTGGTCAAATGAGGGAAGATTTGTGATGCTATGTGGCAGGCACTAGGAAGTATCATGTAGCAAGGTTATTTTAATGAAAGGGCATCAGTTGCATTTGCTGGTGATTTACAACAGTTTGATGAACAACATTTTGAGAAACACTCAAAAATGCATGTATGTTTGTGTATTGTTTGAATACCATAGTGTTTTATTAAATGTTTACTTTGTGAATTTGTAATTTGCTACTGTGATTTTATTTGAAAAAGTAGAAATGGATTGTTTGGAGATTTGGCATGCTTTTAAACGGTAAAGTACAAAAAATGAGCTTGATGAGGAAATGCAAACATGTTAACTCTGCTAAGCTGACTATATTTTCAGGATGAGAGCTTTGAGATCATCTTCCCTTATTAGCAGTGTTTAATGGACTACTCTTGTGGATAGGAAACTACTCCCTCTACTTAATTGCCAACTTGTGACCAATAGACTGTGTGGGAAATGATGAAGTTCAATAGCCTCAGTAATCAAAGAGTTTGTTTTTTTCTGACTGCACAATTACACTGGGCTTCAAAGATGAGGTTTTACTAAATATAACAAGGCCGGAATTTAACCTTAGGATCTGTTGTTACGTGTGTTTCACTAGGAAATTCCATAATCTGCAATTATGCAGCAATTAACTGCCTAAAACACTCTTCTAAGTTATGTATTAATTAATTTGTAGTCAGAGACACAGCTCAGACTTTGTTCTAGTCCATTATTTAATTTTAATTACTTCAGTGGTAGATTTCTATTTCAATATATCAAAGACTTCTAGGGTACCCTGGTGCTGGGAGCAATGTGATCTATTCATTACTGGTAAAGGGTATGTGAGGTATCTAAATTCTGTCAGATAAATAATTTATTTGTAATGAATACTAGCATGGTCTCTAAAGCTTTCAAGCCCCTCTTTTCTGAACTTCGAAATGTTGAATGCTTTCATATCTTACTACTTTTATTTATTATTATTTATTATTTCTTTTTTTTTCTTTTTAATAGGGTATTATTCATTATGGGCGAGACAAAAAAGAGAGAGAGATTTTACTGTTCCAAGAAGTCCTCAGTTATGTGTCTAAAGTGGACAGAGTGCTAAGTTTTCCTGGGGGATCACTTCTTTTGGCAGGACGGAGTGGTGTAGGACGTCGAACAGTTACCTCTTTAGTTAGTCATATGCATGGAGCTGTTCTGATTACTCCCAAAATTTCCAGAGGCTATGAGCTGAAGCAGTTCAAAAATGATCTTAAATATGTAAGTTGCTCAGTGTCTTGCACTTAGTAGTGATGTAGGTGTGTATTAAAAAAAAGGAATTTTGAAGGAAACAAAAGTGTTGTGTGAAGAGATATTTTAAGAAAAGCAGAATGTCAACAATCTAAATGAATCAAGTAGACTTTTAGAAGTTCTCAGTGTCCAGATGTGTATACTGTTCTTTATAGTAATTATCTGAAATTGTACTTTTCTGAATACCAGAGCTGGTTTTATGGGTGTTGTGGACTTTATAAATTCTAAGTTTATAGAATATTGGAAAGATTTTTTAATGTATATGTTTTTATTTTATGTCTCTACTATGATCTGCCAGTTAATAGGATAGTAGCTGAATGAAATAAAATTACAGTGATTGAGAAAAGTGTACATGTTATTTAAAGACAAATGCAAACCTTGAATCAGAAGTTTCCCAGTACCTTCAGCAATGCTAAAGAAAATTCTAGAGCTAAGTCCACATAAAATAGCGATACAATTACATAACTGAGTCACATCTGGAACATAAATATACTCTATGAAAGAAACTGTTTTAATTATTTTTTCATTACCAAGCTGTACATCTAGGTAGAATGTTCTTTATATTTGATATCTCATATAACTGAATTGCCTAGTAATGTTTTATAAATACATAATAGTATAGATACTGTGGAGAAAATATGCATGTAATATATAATCAAGGAAAGATTATCATTCTTCTATGAAAAATACATATATTCCATATACTGAGATTTAAGTGTCTTCCCTGCTTCTAGGTTATGGAGCTTGCGGGCATTGAAGCACAGCAGGTGGTATTGCTGCTCGAAGACTATCAGTTTGTTCATTCCACATTCCTTGAGATGATCAACAGTTTACTATCTTCAGGTGAGACAAGTCCAAAAAGATTATGCTGCTACTTTTACCACATCGAGTTACCTCAATGAGGCAGGATTAGATTATCTTTTCTAGCTTTATGTCCATACCAGAAGTGTTAGCTTTCTACACTGTTCTAGGTAGAGTGCTTGTACATGAGAAACTTGAAGTTCACTTAGCTATCCTTCAACCTGCCTTACAGTGCAGGTGCTTTCAATTCCTCAAAGTTGCAAGTTAAGTAACTTATTTCAAAGGAGTTCTTGATAATAGTGTAACAACAAAATGATAAAGTGTTCTACTCTACAGCTTCCCTTTTCTAATAAAATTCAAAATTGAGAGGTGTCCCAGTGTTTTACTAGATTGTATAGACTGAGTCCTTTACTTAAATGAACACCAGCAAAGCCTGCTTTTCTGAAAGTAATTAAATAAATAAATAATAATAGCAAATCACAAAAGTGACTTTATTTTGTTATCTAGCTTTGTTCCTTGATCAGAAAGATTATTGAAGGACTGAGTCTAACTTACTAAATGTTTTTGGAACTGCAGTAGTTTAAGAGCTGATTGATAAGAGCACCAGATTTTCCTGTCCTCCAGGTGCAAATCCAAATCTCCTTACAGTATCAGATTCTCATCATCCAGTGTTAAATCTCTATGTCTGAGGACCTAGATAACTACTCTTTTTCAAGTCTCTGTTTTCTGGAGGATGACAAAGTCTGATTTGATTTGTTTTGTATGCAGTATTGGATCACTGTCTTTGGGTAGATTTAAATGAGTTTTTGAAGTGCATTTTGGTAATATAAACAAAGTAGGCTGTTTAACTTAAATGAAATCACTGTAATTTTGCTTGTTGTTTTCCTGGTATTGTGAAAAGAATGAGAAAGTATGTGGGATGATACTCATGAAAGTATGGAGGTGAATGTTGCCATATTCAAATTCTCTATACAGAGAATTCAAGGGAAGTCTTAAAAGAAATTTGAAGAATTGTAATGTGTTTGATCTGACATTTTAAATTCATTCTTGAAATAGGAGAAGTTCCTGGACTATATAAAATAGAAGAATTAGAACCATTGCTATCCCCTCTGAAGGATCAAGCTTCACAAGATGGATTTACAGGACCAATTTTCAACTATTTCACATACCGTACGTAAACAGAATTATAAGTTATAATTTATTACAAAGTTACAAAAGTGGCATAATAGTGAACAAATAATTTCTAATGTGGTCTTTATTTTGTGTGCATTTTTAACTTTCAGTTAGTTATTAAAAAACAAGCAGGAACAATGATTACAGTGTGATATTTGAGGGCACAGAAACCTCATCTTAAAATTCATTCTATCTGAAATTTTGTATCCATGAATGTTCTACAAAGCTGTTATGGAATCTGCAGTTGAATGTAATTAGGAGGAAGAAAGTTTTTGTTTCCATTGTTTTCTGTTTTGTTTAGCTTATATATCTAGTAACAGACTTTTCTTCTATTTGTCAGTTATACCTGCAAATCACTTTGGATTCTAGGTAACCATAAGCAAGTTTACAGATAGGTTTCTTAATTGTTTGTGTTTCTTCCTTGAACCAACAGGAAGATTAAATAGTTTATGAATAAGTAGAAGAATGTGAGTGAAAGGATACAGGTGTTGGCAATCATACTCAAGGGCCCTGGAACTCCTTCTCATTGGTTCTATTGGTCTATATTGACTGGAATGAGAACTAGTGGTATCTACTTAAATACTGTCAATTCGCCTAAATTAAAAAAATACACTGTAATAAACATAATGAGAATGAATGATATTAAGTTATTTTGTTGAAGTTCTGTTTATAAACATCCCTGCCTTAGAGTGGTGTGGTGTAATGGTATCTTTTTTTTCAGAAATTACCTTGTGATGAGTATTTGAAGGAAATTATGTTGTGTTTGCAATAAATGTACCATCATGTGATCCATTGTTATCTACTAAATATTTAATATGTTGCATTTTGTTAGGGATCCAACAAAATCTGCATGTTGTCTTGATCATGGATTCTACCAATTTAAATTTCACAATAAACTGTGAAAGTAATCCAGCACTGTACAAGAAATGTCAGATTTTGTGGATGGAAAGCTGGTCAGAAAACAGTATGAAAAAGGTAAATTGCATGAATTAAAAACTGTTACTTGTTTAAATTAGTATCTCCAAAAATAACTGAGCTTTGGTGAATAAGATCAAAATATTTAAAGTTGTGAAGGACTAATTGTCACTGTGCTTAATCCATTTGTGCAATCCTACAAAGACAAATAATTCTGCAGAACAGTTAAGTAATGTTAGCATTGTTAGTTTACCAGTAATGTTATATTTTGTTCTGTCTGTGGGCTGACTTGAACAACATGCTGACTACTATGACTTTGAACAAACACAGCATTTAAGAACAAAATACAAATAGACTGCAAGCAAAATGTTAAAGCCAACTGTGCTGATGATAGCTGCTGTTACTAGTATGCTTGACAGCTAGTTTAAGAATAGGTTTGTTATGTGTATATGAACTGCTATAGATCTAAGTTTGCACTGTGAACCTTCTGTTATTCTTGAATCTTTAAGTGTTTTGTTTCATGGAACGGAGTCAGTCTGTTCGTTTTAGGATCAACATGTGCTTATTTCAGGCTGTTCACAGTGTAAGTCTGAAAAAGATATATATTATTTCTAAATGTTAAGAGATTGCAAATCCAGTACCCTGGTAGGGGCAAGGCTGTCACAGCTTCACGGCCCCGACTTAAACCAGTGGTGAAGCTAAGCGCGTATTCCCAGTAGACGCACAGACACAAACACACGTATACAGCACATACATACATGGCATTGGCAACGCAGAACAACAGAAGGAGAAACCTTCAGCACAAACACAAACAGCACTGTTGGCATTGTCCTGTTCCCCTCTCTGAGTGATGACAATGAAGGTCTGTTAGTGGGAAGTACATACATGTGCGGAATGTGGATCCCCCTGCTAGCTGGGTACAGACACACAGCCCCGCCAGTAACTGCCTCTGGATTTTCTGGTCTCCCCAGTTGCTGACATCTGGATGTACAAGCTCCTGAGGCTGCAGCCCCATTCCAGCTGCTGGTACAGACTGCCTCACTGTATGTGCACCGCCGCCCACCCCCCGCCCCACAGTGGCTCCTTCCAGTAACTGGGCTTAGACATCCAGTCCACCTGGTAGCTGGCCTTGGATCTAGGATTTCCCCGTTGTGCCCTGCACAGGCACATACGTGGCCATACATGTACACACACACAAACACATGCAGCTGGGTCTCATTTGACTTCCAGACTCCACAGTGTCTCAGGCAGTTGGCCTGGACCTTCTAGTCCCTCTGGCAGCCAACTCTGATGGTGCCTCACCAGCCTGTAGTAAGTCTTGTACAATCTGAAATACTCTTCCACTGCATCCCGTAATGTGTCCCAAGACTCCTATGCAGTTACGCCCTCAGTCTAGTCTGTAAGATGGTCTGGCCTCTCTCATTGACTCATGATGATGGGTTTCACATGGGGTTGGTCACTCTCCTGGGAGAGCCATGGGAGCAGATGGCGCAGAGTGTCCATTACTGCCTGGGTTACTGGGACTCCTCCACCTGCCGTTGTGCCTGAGTTTCAATGGCAGGTTGTACTGAAAATTTATTTTGGCAAAAAATGTTTGGACCAGCTCTGTCCATAGTTAAAAAATGTTTTTCAGAGTATTTTCGTTTTCACTTCAGTAGGGATTTTTTTTTTTTTTTTTTGAAGTGGAGTCTTAACATTTAGTCTTAGGCCAGAACCTTTGAGCATGCTTTGTTTATTTTTACCATTGCATATTGTATAGTTGATAACATATGAAGGTAAGCCCACTCTTAGACCATGAAAAAGACTTCAAAGACTTAGACATTGTTTAATTCTGGTGTTGTATCTGCAACAATTGTACTTAAGACTGATTTCCTGTTGAGCTGTGTATCTTTTTACATCTTTGACATTTGTGTTATTGTAAGAGTCCTCTGAGAATTAACTGCTCTTTCTTACAGCCAGCAAAAATTGCTCTGCTTGAGAGAACAGGAAGTTACCATTGACAGGGAAAGGCAGAATTGATGTTTTTAATGCTATAAATATTCTGTAAATACCTTATTCTGAGTAAAAGTGTCATGTTCAGTTTTTTCAAATGAGAAACTAGATTGAAGGTTTGTGATTTTTTTATTTTAAGTAAAATTTTCATAGTTTGTAATTTTCATACAAAAAATCATGTTCATTTTTTTAGATACCTGAAATGCTTTTGTATGATTTAGATGAACAAGAAAAGACTGGAAAAGCACATAAGGAACTTAAGCAAAAATATTCAGGTAATACTTAGGTGGACTCACTAGTTATTACTTATTATTAAGCACTTATTCAGTCCTGTGTTGGACATAGATAATAGCATACTTACTTTGGGTATGTTTTTGCCAGCATATTCATAGACTTTAGTATTGTTCACATGGCAGGCATTTTGCGTAAAGGAACGTTAGTCTGGAACATGCATCCTGGCTGATCAAACCCAGTCTCTTCTGTCACAAGCAATCACTACGTATATTCAATTTTATAAACTGATTAAGCTGCATCTTGTTTTGTTTTGTGCTGTGTCTTCCTTCTATGTGAATGTTACTTCACAGCCTCAAAATTTGGTGTTTTTAGAGTTTTCCAGTCTACATGTTTTCATTATTCTTGTCATAGACCTGCTTATTTTACTTTAATAATTCTTTATCTACAATAACTACTTTCTTGTAAGTAATGCCCCTTTTTCAGAAAAAATTGTTTTTATAATAAAAATTTAAATTTAGCTATTTTAAAAAATAGGGTGTCAAACATAATCTACGAGAGCAGCGCCAGCACTCATTTGCATAATGCTACTTTTTGTAAAGCATTAGTATAAGTAGCACTTAAAAGTCATGGAACCAACAGAGTATAAAATGGTAAGTGGTTCACTTGGGGTTTCTTGGTTTGTATTGCTTTTTAGTAGTTACTCCAGCCCATCAGAATGAAGGCAAAACTTAGAACATAGTGTTTGTGCTACCATACATCTTTATCCTAGATCATGGTGCTTAACCTATGTCTCAGTACTTATTAAAGGCATTCATTTATAAGTAGATATGTTTTAACAATTTTTTGTTTTGTAGGGTAATACAATTTATTTTACAATATCTTTGGGCTTTTTTGAGAAACTATTCAACAAACTGAAGGACCTGGAATGTTCAGAAAAACTTTTTAGTCTACCTGTCGTAAGAGACAAGGGAGAAGACAACAACACATAGGCTTTGTTTCTAAAAAAGTCCAAGTGTTTTCAAATTCAATTTCTGTGGAAATTAAGTTTCTTTTATGATCAGCCCTCAGTAACCTGCAATTAATTTTGCCTTCTTTTCCAAACATCAATGAAATATTTTGCAGCTTTGAAACAATTTCAGTATATTTCTTTCTGAGAAATATGTATTTCCAGTGTAATTACATGTTGTTTGCCTGAGAGTACTTTGAAAAAAGTATATTCTTTGTGATGAATGCCCTTAGTTCATAGTTCAAAAACCATACTCTGTTGATCTTCCTTAGTTTTTTGGATGTGAGATAAGAATGAGTATATTATTATCTGTGTAACAAATTATGTTGTACAGGTGATTCTGATTTTCTGAAGTCATTTCTGGCAATCCATGAATCCTGTAAAATGTATGGAGCAACGCCTAGCAGATATATGACATTCCTTCGTATATACAGTACCATCAATAACAGTAAAAGAAGAGAGCTAATAAAAAGGCAGAACCACTTGCAGGTATGTATTTAAAACATTTTAAGATGACTTTTCAAAATACTCTCACATTTGGAAATGCCTTGTGTATTTAATGGACTGTAGCTTCTAATGTGGCTCTGTGAGATGTCTCTGTTGGCATATGTGCATCCTGTGGTTTCAGGAGAGGAACAGTATGAATCTTAGTGCACATTTCTGTTCAAATGCCTCAAAGAGTGAAGAGTGATTTCTTGTTTTCATTAATATTTTTCCTCAAGGGTGTATCAGACTGGATATGTTTTCTTGGAAGAGTAAAAAGTACTTGAAAAGACTTCAAAATTTTTCACCCATACATATTGCAATTGTGTTGCAAACAACCCATCATCTTTCCATCAATTTAAGTCCTGCCTCTGCTTGTATAAATTTTCCCCATTTAGCTCCATATTCCACCCCTTTCTTGATATCTCTACAGCAACTTCCTGCTTTGTGTGATTCTTGCATCCCTGTAGTTCAACAGGCTGTTATCTTTAACCTCGTGGTGCTCTCTTGTAGCTTTGGCCAAGATTCCTTTTCTTATGCCTTTCTCTCATTTTGTGTTTTGGAATTGATTTCTAATTCCTTTTCCACACATGAAACCTTTACACAGTTCTAGACCAAATGCAGTTCATCTCACAGATGTCACATTACTCCTGTTCTGTGTGCATAACATGCTCATTTTTGAAACCTGTGTGTTATCTTTCCAGTCATACTTCCTTCCTTCTCCCCAGTATATTTCTGGAAAGGTCTGTATGATCCTTTAGGACATGTAATTTTTGTCTTTACCCTTCTCCCTTCCCTTTCAGCTCCTTTTCCCAGTGACCCTTGCTGCTATTCTGAAACCACACTTGCAAAGCTGTATTTCTTCTTAAAGCGTCTGTCAGAACCAAATTACTTCCTTGCCTTGTATTCTACACTGTTTTATTCTGCCTGCCAATATTGTTCCATCACTGTAGTATGCAATTTAAGAAGATTTACATTTGTAATGATAGAAAATGCTTCTTTATTTATTTAAAAAGTAGCTGTAGTTTGTTTGTGACAAACATTTACTTGTTAAATGCTCTGGTTAAATAAAAGTAGTAATTTACATGAAAATTAGAGATGTGTATCCTAAATCAAAACATCTTCCAGGTAATATTTTTTTTCAAATATATCTTGAAATAATTCTATTATCTGCTTACCATAAAGCAAATAATTTAGAAAGTGTGAATAAAGAAAATAGTTAAGCATAATTAAGGCTTTGTTTTATGTACATCTATGTTCTTTAGAGAATGTGCAAATATATAGAAACAGGATAATCTAATTTATTTCAATTTCTTTAATTTTTGTAGATTTGCTTTTAAAGGAGATATATAGCGTTGATATCAATTAACTGAAATTCTATTGAGTTAATGAGAAAAAGATTATGTACTAATTGCTGTTCCATTAAAAGTTTGTTATTTTGAGAGTTTCATTTTCAGCTTTTTGGTGTAGTAAAGATCTTACAGTGACACATCTAGAAGTGTCATTGGGTTAAATAATTTTGGGGTTAAATAATACTAAGAAAAATGTAAATAATATCAAAAAAATGTGGAACATAAATTAAAAAATTAAGAGTATTAGTCTACATCACTCTTAGTTTGTGCATACTATTTGTAACCAACCTTCATTTAAATCCATTTAAAACTCATTAATAAATAACTGGTTCTTATAAACTTTTGTAGGCAGGTGTTTCAAAGCTGAACGAAGCTAAAGCCCTAGTAGATGAACTGAACAGAAAAGCTGGAGAACAAAGCATTTTACTCAAAACAAAGCAGGATGAGGCTGATGCTGCCCTTCAAGAAATTACAGTATCTATGCAGGTGTTGTATATAATCACATCAAAAATGAAAAAAAAAGTGATGCTTTTCTGGTTTTGGTCTCCATAACTGCCTGTGCTTTGTGTTTTTTTTCAAGAGTTACAAAGCCTGATGCTTTTACAAGAGTTTACCTAAGGGAATGCATGAGCCCTGAGGCTTGAAGAAACTTGCAGTGGAACAGAAGATTATATAATTTATATTATATTTGAACTGATTGAGTAGGAAGAGATTAGTGCAGGTTTTGCACCTGAGTAATACTTACTGCTGTAGTTTAGTCTGAAAGTTTTCCTAAAACTTCATAAATCCAAACTGATCCATTTTATAAAGTTTATTACAGATAGGAACTGTAAACAAAAATACTGACAAGTGGCACTATTTTATATAACAAATACCAGGAATTAAATTTGTGGACTATTAGAAAGTATGTATTTTATGAGGTCCGGTCCTCTGAAGTTAACCTCAAAGAAGGTTAGATAATACCTCTGTGTTCATCACTCCTGGAATTTTTATTCTTCAACTCAGAGGTAGACCTTCTGTTTTTTGAGGAGGTAATTTTCTTTAGTAGTGTTTTCTCAGTTAGGTGAAATAATTGTGCAGAAAATAGATCTCTACATTGATACTTCCAGGAATCATAAATGAAGAATAAGCTGTAATGAATCTACTGTCACTATACTATTTGCTTTGTCACTGCTTTAGTCTGATCGGTCCGAAGCAAACTGAAATAAAGAAGCTCAATGACAAAGACATTTTCTGTATGCAGGGAAGTAGATGCCTGCTCTTTAAAACCATTTAGTTCCCAGTGCTTTAAAGGTGCGTTACTTCCCATTTTTATAAGTCTACTTCTTTTGGCAGTTTTTAATACTTTTAGGCTCTATCAGCCTACTGTAAATGATTTTGAATAATGATGTTTGGCTTGGTGTGTTCACTGCTGGACTCGAAGAGTTTATTGTGCCATTTCCCATGATTTCTGTTTTAAATCTGTGTCTGCTGTTGTCCAGTAGCGTTATAGGTTGTGTGGGTAGCACATATTACATTGTAGGACAAAATCAAAGAACAGGCCAAAAGCAGTGAAACATGATGAGCCCACTGACATCAGAAAAATTACAGTAGAATTCTGATTATTTAAATTAGCATAAAGTATGGGTGCCCTCTAACATTTTAATGTCACTTCAAATGTTCTAGTTTATGTAAGAGAGAGGACCTTAATACATATGGACTCTTTTAATCTTCTTTCAGAGCAAGGCTTTTGACCTACAACTGAATTTTAAGGTTTTCTTACTCAGAGGTATCACTCAGTACATGTACATTTGCATGGAATGTCTAATCTAGTTTTATGTAGCTAATGTTTTATGGATTTGAATATAATCTTCAGTGACGTGCTGATCTATAGCTTGGGTTAAGTGCTTAGAAAGATTATTATTAATCTTGAGGTTTTCTCTGGTTATACACATCTGTTACCTTCTGCTACAAGTTCAACTCAGCTTGGCAATTGCTGGTTATAATAATGTGTTATATACTGGAAAAACATAAAATCTGGGCTTTGTTGTCTTGTATCTTTTAGGTGAACTGAGCTTAGAATGTTAGTCTTTTTATTTTATGCATTTATCCTCAATTTTTTGTTTTGTAACTTGTATTGGTAGTCCCTGTTTTGTGGTGGTTTTGGGTTTTTTTGTTAATTTCAGGATATGTAAGGTTCTTTTTATTGCAGTTTAATATACTAGGTATTTATTGTTGTACTGAAGTGCTTAGGAGTCCTGGAGATGGCTGATAGCTACTGTCCGTTGTATGGTAGGCACAGTACAAATCCAGGAAAAAAAAAGATGTAAACCCAAACAGCTTACAATATATGTGTAGGACATAAGACTGGCATCCTTACAGACGGATGGGTGCAAATTTACAAGTAAATAATGTATTAGTATTTTCAGGCTCATAGGCTGTAGTTCCAACACAACTGCTGCTTTTATGAACATTATAGAACATTAACGATGTCATGAAAGAAATAGAAATGTGAGCAGCTACAAAGAGAATGGCAGGAAGATATTACTTTCAACGGTAGTAAGAATGTTACAGAGACTGTCACTCTTATCCTTTTAGAGGGGAACTGGCATCTTGGCAAGGAATGTAAAATCAGAGGCAAGGACTAAAAAGGTCATAATGAGCATCAAAAATAGAGGTACAGTTGTTATCTGTGGTAAAGAAAGGGAAGGAGACACAGTAAAAGCAAAAGATGCTTATTCCATAAAATTTAGTTACCTAGTCAACCTGTTCAGTATCAAATAGTCTCAGATATTTTATTTTAATTGGTGTTGTGCAAATTATGTTATAATCATGACTAAAAGCAATAAGAGACCTAAAGGAATAAAATCTGTGTAAATTTGAAAACTAAAGGTTTTGGTTTTTTACAGAGTGCTAGTGAGCAAAAAACAGAAATGGAAAAAATAAAACACCGGATAGCAGAAGAGGCTGCAGAAATAGAAGAAAGAAAAAAGAAAATTGAAGATGAACTAAAAGAGGTTCAGGTAAGAGCCGATAGGGAAATGTAATATTTTGGAGTCTGATTTTATTTGACTAACTCAAGTCCTGCCATGCAAAATGGTTCTGCAAAATGTATCCCTGCATTTCATAAATTTTGCTCTAAACTATTTTGATATTAAAACTTCTATGTGTTAGGAAATAGTATTCTATTTGCCAGATTTAGATCGTCATTTTGGCATTTGTGTTCTATTAGATCTCAATTATAGAAAGAATTTTCAGGCCAAAACTCCAGTTGCTATTTCTATGCTGCCATGGTCTACAGCTGAGTTCTGCACATTTTGTGGACTGTTTTCCAATTGTTAATATCTTATATAGACCAACTACATTACTCTGCCGTGGTCAAGCTCATAATACTGTAGGGCTTGGCACTGTCAGCGCAATGGAAATAGTTTAATGAGAGATAATTTCTAGTTATTATTAAATTCTGGAAATTATATATCCTAATGGTGCTACAGCAACTGCTTGTTCAGGAGACCTTACAGCTGTTAAGCATCAGGTTTTTTGGGAGCTATGTGTATTCAGTCATTGCTTTTGGTCTCTGTTTTTCATCCCATCCATTTTAAAATTGTACTAAAGAATAAGGGAAAAGTACAGCAGCTTAAATTTTTTCCTTTTAAATATTGTAGTTGCCAAGGAGTTATATCCTTATGTTGAAAATGACATAGAACTACAGGATTAGGATAAATCCCTTTCTGTGGTCTTTGATAGATATGAAGGATGTGCAAGGTGTGCACAGTCTTTAATGATAATCTTTAACTTCTGTTTTCTTATCATTTTGTTGCTTCGTTGATAAGGTCAAAGACTGTCTGGATTTGTTTATCTACTGAAAATAGAAAGCTTTTGTGACCTGTACTTCTACGTATCTTTACAAAGATATCCTCAGGCATACCTATAAATAGTAATTAGCATCATTATTAAAACATACCATGTGTTAAAACATGACCTTTTAAGCAATGAAAGAGCAAACAAGCATGATTACTACTAATATCTATATAATTTTTATAAATTACAGTGCAGAATGAAAAGTTAGGGAATGTCAGGATTATAATATGGTGGTTTATATGGAAATATATTTATTATCAGCTAATAAACACATGGCAAATTTTTAATAACTTGTGCACATGAATATGCATCAGTGGCAGTTGGTTAGGTAATAAAATCTGTAAAAAGAACAAGAAATTGTATGAAAACTGAAATGGCAAATGTTAAGTTTATTGTATCCTCATCTCTTTTTAAATGTGTTTTTATGTTTTAAGCCACTCGTTAATGAAGCTAAATTAGCAGTTGGAAATATAAAGCCAGAGTCTTTGTCAGAAATCCGGTCACTACGGATGCCCCCTGACATAATCAGAGACATACTAGAAGGAGTTTTACGGCTGATGGGGATTTTTGATACATCATGGGTGAGCATGAAGAGGTGAGGAATTTATTTAAGCTTTAAACTTAAACAGTAATTTACAATATGAAATACTTTCTGTTCTGTTATATATATATTATATTATATTCAGGAATAATGTGTGTGCAGAATTCTTTGGTTTTGTA